TGCATGGGCGGCGGCTTTGGAGCGGCGGCGCGCGACACCTTCAAGTACAGCGGCAAGGTGCGCCCGGGCAAGCAGTCTCCAAAGCGGTCGGTGCCAAAGTCGATCTCGAAGCCCGACTACTGGAAGGACGGGCAGCCAAAGGCGCGCGGGCCGATGCTGCCGTGGCAGATCCAGAAGAAGAGCGAGGCCGATATCGAGGGGATGCGAGCGGCGGGCAGGATCGCGCGAGAGGTGCTCGACCTCGCTGGCGCGGCGGTGGCGCCGGGTGCGCCTCGCACGCGCCGCCTGCCCGTGCCGCTGCTCCGCCGCCGCTGCCGAGCTGGCCGCCGCCGCAGCCGCCACAGCCCGCCGCCACAGCTGCCACCGCAGCGGCCACTTCTCCGCGGCACCGCAAGCACACCACTCCCCTCTCCCGCCCGACCAGGTGTGACGACGGAGGCGATCGACGCCCTCGTGCACGAGGCGGCGGTCTCGCGCGGCGCCTACCCCTCCCCGCTCAACTACCACGGCTTCCCAAAGTCTTGCTGCACCTCAGTCAACGAGGCGGGCGTGAGCCGCTACAGCGGCCGGCGCCTGCAGGCTCCCGTCACGCACGCAGCTCACGGCCGCGCGCGGACACGCAGGTGATCTGTCACGGCATCCCGGACTCGTCGAAGCTGCGAGACGGCGCGGCCCGCCCGACACCGCGACGCCACCTCTCCCGCTCCTCTTCAGCCGCCCCGCCGCCGCTGGAACGCCTCTGCACCGCCTCTGCACCGCCAGGCGACATCGTCAACATCGACATCACATGCTACTACGGAGGCTACCACGGGGACTGCTCCGAGACATTCCTGGTGCGACACAGCCGAGAGGCAGCCGAGAGGCCTTAGAGGTGCGGCCGAGGGTGCGGCCGAGGTGCGGCCGAGGTGCGGCCGAGGTGCGGCCGAGGTGCGGCCGAGGTGCGGCCGAGGTGCGGCCGAGGTGCGGCCGAGGTGCGGCCGAGGTGCGGCCGAGGCTCGCCGCGCGACATCTGTGTGTCTCTGTGCGACGGGAGAGGCGCAGGCCACACCCCTCCTGCTCGTACGAGCCTCCTCCTCCTCCTCTGCAGGTTGGCGAGGTGGACGAGGCGGGCAGGCAGCTGGTCAAGGTGACGCCCGGCGCCCGGCGATGTCCACGACATGGCCATGACATGTCCGGGACATGTCCCATAGGTGACGCACGACGCCTGGCAAGCCGCCATCGCGTACTGCGCTCCCGGAAAGGAGTACAAGGGCATCGGTCCGCCGCCCGCCCGCGCCTTTTGGACGGCGGTGGGCGGCGCCTCCTCCACCGCTCTGCCCTTCGCCCGCGCGAGTAGGCGCCATCATCGAGGACTACATCGCCCCGCACGGCTACAGCACCGTGCGAGAGTTTTGCGGCCACGGCGCGGCGAGAGAGGCCTCGCCCGACGGCAGCGCGGGACGGGGCGCGTCACGGGGCGCGCGAGTGTTGAACAGGCGTGGGAAGCGTTTTCCACGAGACGCCGAACGTGATCCACGCGCGCAACAACGAGCCGGGGACGATGCAGGTGGGGCACACCTTCACGATCGAGCCCATGATCTGCGAGGGCGTCGAGAAGCACATCCTGTGGCGCGACGGCTGGACAGCGACCACCAAGGACGGCAAGCGTTCGGCGCAGTTCGAGCACACGCTGCTCGTCACGCCCGACGGCATCGAGGCGCTCACTGCGCGCACCGAGAACTCCACGCCCTTCTGGTGGGAGAAGTGACCGCGGGCCACTCGAGTTATTACCGGAGCGCTGTGGAGCTGGAAGTAGAGCGCGGTTTCCTTACCAGTCGGTCGCGTTCCCGCAACCGTATCTGCGGAGCTGCGGGTACAGTTTACAATGTTACAGTCCGCCACTGCGCACTGGCACTGCGCACACTGGGAGAGCACCGCTGTGGTTTGGCACGTGGCGACGACCGACGTGCCCCCTCCGTGCCCTCCCCGCGGCTCCCCCCACACAGACACCCGCACAGAGCCGCATCAGAGCACAGTGCTCCGCCCCACTCCAGCACGACGAGCGGGTCCTGTCGTGATAGCGCCGACCCCTCGTCCGTCGAGCGTCGTCCTCCGTCTCATCGCGGCACACGGGGATCGGGCGTCGGTCCACGTTCGGGCGGGGTGCGGTGGACCCGTGTGGTAGCTGGTACGAGGTACGTGGACCATAGCAAAGCATGCCGCGCAAAACAAAAGACAAAACCCAGTTGGGCTAAAAGATTGTTTGCGATTCAAAGATCTCTCCATCTCTTCGTCAGCGGGCTGTAGGACCTGAGATTCGTTCCGCGGTCTGAAGCGCTGAAATCCAAACTTTTTTGATAGGAGGGTCGGTACAAAATAGGAGCTCGATCACGTCGCTTCGCGCGACTCTGGCGCGACTCTGCGCGCTGGCGCATGTCCGCGCCAAGGCCGGCGCCCGCGGCGGCGGAGGAGGAGAAGATGTCCATGTTCTCTGCGGCCGACGGGGCCGACGACGGCGGCCACGACCACCCGGAGCTGAAGAGCTTCGGTGACACAATATATGCCGCCTCCCTCATGCCCGCTACACCCCCTCACCCACGCCACACTCCAGCCCCCCCGACCCCCCTGGCGTCGAGGAATCCCGGCATTCGCACGGAGACAACACAGCAGTCGGCCGCGCCGTGCCGCGACGCTTCCTTCTGATCCGCATCCCCCGCCCCACCCAAGGTTATACCTTCGCGCCGCTTGCTCGGCCGTCGAGCTCTGCCACCTCCTCCTTCTCTGGGACCCCACCGCCGTCGCCGCCGCCGGCGGTTGCCCTGCTTGTTGCGACCACTCCGCATCCCTCGCCAGGCGGGGTCCCCTCGCGGGGCGCCGAGCGCGAGGATGCCGCCGAGCGGATGCGGAGGGCTCGGCTCGAGATGCTCGGCGTCCGGCAGCGGCCGCACCCTTTAGGGACGCCGCGGAGTGGGCTCGGGGGCGGGAGGGCGACGGGGCGGTCTTCCCCTACGAACCGCACGCCGCCGCCCAGCGGCGGCCTCTAGCTCTCCGTCTCGGCGGGTGACTCTCTCCCTCGCAGGCACGGATGGGGGCCGCTCCAGGGGATGATGGGTGATTTCATTGGTGATGATTGGGCGGCGGGCATGCGGCGGACGGGTCGATCGCGGTTCATGGCCGTTTGCCCTGGATGTGGTATCCGGGTCAACGGCGCGCATGCGTGCCAGCACCGGCGAGTGGTGCGACTAGCTATTGGCGGCTCGGCCGCGTTCGGTGGCAGAGGAATGCGGGGCTCGTTAGTGCGGCCTGCGCCATTCTCGGGCGGCGCGCAGTTGCTCTGCACGCCGGCCTGCCGCCGGCACCGTTCCTTGGGTTAGGGGCTAGGACACTAGGCAGAGGCATGGGGGCCGGGGCGGGCCGGGGGGCGCCCCCTGTGCCGGCTTGCTGTCGGTGCACGGGACGTCGAGGCACGGGAGCCTCGGGACTCACTGCCCCCGGTGTGTATCATAGTTGTACCATAGTCACGCTCGCTTGCGCAGCGCTCCGTGGTCTCCTTACGCGCCGATCTGACATCACCTGTCACACTTGTCCTTAGAGCGGCGCCGGAGTGAGTGAGTGGGCGCACATAGAGCCGTATCGTACTGAGAGGGGCACGTGCTACGTGCTCATGGTCATGGACTGGCGCGCCGAGCTGAGTGTGTGAGCAGCAGGTGCAGCTGTGAGTACGTCCGATGGTTGCTCTCGTCCGGTGTGAGTTGGGCTGCATTTGGAGCACTTGGAGTGCAGTGTCATTAGACATTAGCGCCGGGGCGGCCGCTCGAGGCCGCGGACGATTGGGATCGGGTTGCGGGCTAGAGAGCCCTAGTCCTGGGGGGTGCGCGTTCGCAGGGAAGGCGTGAGTGCACCTTGGGGGGCACTTGGAGCGAGTGGCAAACGCAAAAAGAAAGAAAGAAAGAAAACAGACACGCCAAACGAGGGATGGGACGAGGACAGGGTCCCCACCTGCACGAGCAGGATTTTGGAAGAACGATCAGGGGGACAGGTGGGGCTCTCCTGCTCCTGACAAGGGACACGACAGGCTCGCAGCGCGGTGCGCGGTGGACTCCCACATCCACTGGCGGTCTCATCTCAGTCTAGCGACCTGCCTCCAGCTTGTCGCTGGCAGTCTCTCCTACCACAGGCACACTGACACAGGGGTGGCAGGGGCGGCGGCACGAGTCTCCCACATACTATGCGGGCCTCACTAGAGGTGCGGCCTGTGCGTGTCCTCGCCCTTGAGGGGGGAGGGGAAGGGGCTGTGTGTCTGTGCATGTGTGTGTGTGTGTGTGTGTGTGTGTGTGTGTGTGTGTGTGTGTGTGTGTGTGCGTGTGTGTGTGTGTGTGCGTGTGCGTGTGCGTGTGCGAGCCGCCCTGAACGCCACGAGCGCGCCGCGAGCGCCGTAGCGCCGGCGAGCGCCGTCGGCAGCGCGCGACCGCCACCCAAAAGCGGAGGTACATCAGGAGCCGCAGCCGGCCTGCTCTATCAGCCCCGCAGCCGCGGTGGCGCGACCGGACCGCGGTCGCTCCAGGCGCCTTTTGGCCCCGGTTCGAATCGCGGTTGGCGCGCGCCCTCGCAAGCCTTGTGTCATGCCGGCGATGTTTTTCTTCTGTGTCCTCTCGCCGCATCGAACGAAGCGCGGGTCGCGAGGCATGGCGGAGCTGCGACGCCGGCGGCCTCCTGCCGGGACCAGCGAGCCGCTGCCCAGCGACGCGTCGGACACCCTCTCCGACACGGACGTCGACTGCGGCGCCAGCTCCGCGTCCGAGACGGACATGGCAGAGCGCGATCCCTCCAGAGAGGCTGGATCGTTTGGGCCAGCCGGCCACACGAGCGGCGAGAACAAGCTGACCAAGCTGGTGAAACGGCTCTTCTTCGGCACCTCGCTCCTCCTCTTCCTCATCTTCGTCTTGTCGCTCGGCCACCTGACCACGCTCGCGATGCTGCTCATCGCGCAGGCGCCGCCGTTCGCTCACACAGCCGTCCGCAGTGCCGCCCGCCGCGTCCACGGTTCCAACGCAGCGCCATCGCAGCGCCGCCGCCTCCTTCGCCGCCGCGCCGCCGCCGGCACCGCCGCGCGCCCGCCCCTCCGCAGGTGCTGATGTTCCGTGAGCTGGTCAACGTGCGGTACAAGACGCGGCTGGTAAAGACCATCCCGTGGTTCCGGACGACGCAGTGGGGCTGGTTCTGGTGCTGCATGGTCTACTCGTACGGCAACTCCTTCTCGCAGGAGAAGCTGCTCTCCCTCATCCGCAGGCGACCGCCCGCCACTCCGTCACTCCGCCACTGCTGCCCCGCTTTGCCCTCTCGCCTCGCCCCTCCCACCTCGCACCTCGCACCTCCCGCAGCCCGACGCTGGTGGGGATGCTGCCCTACGTGCAGCTCCTCTCCATGGCGGCCTACTCCTTCATGCTGATGCTCTTTGTCCTCACCCTCAAGGCGATCTCCCGCCCCTCCCCTCCCGCCCCTCCCGCCCCTCCCCTCCCGCCCCTCTCCTCTCTCCCTCCAGCCCTCCACTGCCGCTGCCACCCTGCCGCCGCCATCCCCCCCCCCCCCCCCTCTGCGGGCAGGCCGGCTACTACAAGTACCAGGTCGGCCAGCTCGCTTGGACGATGGCTGTCATCGTCGTCACCGTCGTGCAAGTCAACTCGTTTACGCAAAACATCTTCAACGGCAGCAGACCCCGCGACCCGCACATCCGCCCCGTGCCCGCGCCCGCTCTAGCGACACGCGGCCGCCCCGCCGCCCCGCGCCCCGCCCACAGGCCTCTTCTGGTTCCTCTACCCCGTCGGCCTCGTCATCTGCAACGACTCGATGGCCTACTTTTGCGGCGCGCTGCAGTAGGGAGTACAGAGAGCACCGCACACAGCAGCGACCCCTAGAACAGCTCCCTCTCCCTGCTTAACGGTCAGCCACCCAGCCCCCGCCCCCCCTGCCCGCGTGACCCTCCCCCCCCTCCCCTTCCCCTTCCAGGCCTCGCTTGGGGCAAGAAGCTCACGCAGAAGCCCTTCCTCGCCATCTCGCCAAACAAGACCTGGGAGGGCTTCTTCGGCGGCGGCATCTGCACCGTCATCTTCGCCTTCTACTTCCCGCTGCTGCTCGTCTCCTACTTCCACCCCACCGTCTGCCCCTGCGAGGCGACACTCCAAAGCCACTCCATAGCCACTCCACACACACGCGCGCCTAGTCCCTGTGCCCGGGCGAGGAGCCTCCTCCACCCCCCCACACACACGCGCCTCCCTTGCCCCCTCCTCACACCGCGGCAAGGGCAAGGGCGCGTCACGACACGTCCCGCGACACGCCTCGTCCCCACACCACGTCCATGACACGTCCCCACGACACGTCCCCACGACACGTCCCCTCCGCAGGCGCTCTTCGACCCGTGGATCGACTGCGAGACGCCGCCGCCCTTCCTGCCGCTGCTGCCGCTCGAGCGCGACTACACAAAGACGCGCCCTCGCGCCCCGCCGCCCCCCGCGCCCCGCCGCCCCCCGGGCCCCGCCGCCTTTCGCGCCCCGCCGGGACTCGCCCGAGGTCACGCCCCCCCCCCCCACCCCCCGCCCCTCTCGCAGTCGCTCCCACTTCGAGCCGCTCCTCTCCTCCGCCCTCGAGTCGTACGACGCGCTGCAGCGGCAGCTGCTCGGCCAGAGCCAGCCGCTGCTCCGCATACAGCTGCACGGCCTCGCGCTCGGCGCGCGCCTAGTCGGACTCGCCTCCGGGAGACGCGCCGCACACGCTGCCGAGACGCACCCGAGCCTCGGCATGTCGCCACCCCGATGCCTCGCCACCCCGCCGCCTCGCCACACCCCGCTGCAGGCGCCTTCGCCTCGCTCGTCGCCCCGTTTGGCGGTTTCTTCGCCTCGGGCATCAAGCGCGCCTACAAGATCAAGGACTTTTCGGCGATCATCCCCGGCCACGGCGGCGTCTTCGACAGGCGCCGCCGCCCCAGCCGCCGCAGCCTGTCGGTCGCGGTTGGATGAGGGGCAGGGTCGAGCCGTCCTGTAGGATCGACTGCCAGCTCATCATGGGCCTCTTCACCTACATCTACACCTCGACGATCGTCGACGGCGGAGGGCTCATCGCGAGGGAGCGCGTGCTCGCGCTCGCGACGGCACCCGCCGCCGTCGGAGGAAGAGGTCCGCCCGCCCCCAGTGAAGATGAGCGGGCTGGCTTGTGGTATAGGCGCTGCCAGCGGAGGAGCGGCTGCTGCTGTACCGAGAGCTGACGGCGTCGCTGCGGGACGCAAAGCTGCTGTAGCAGCTTGCGTGGGGGAGGGGAGGAGTAGGGGACGCTTCGCTTAGGGGGCGGCCCGGGGGTGGGGTGGGGTGGGGTGGCGGGTGGGCAGCCTTCGCTCGTACAAAGCGGGACTGGTCCAGGCGGTGGCTCGGCAGTCGGCAGTCGGTCAGTGGCTCGGCAGTCGGCAGTCGGTGCGGGTTGCGGTTCTGGGTGCGCTGAGCACGCTCTCCGTCTGGGCCGGGGGCGGGCATGCAGGGGCGGGGAGGGCGAGGCACGCGGGGTGTACACTGCTTGGTGGCGAATCGGCTTTGGGTCGCGATCTGCCGCGGGCCTCTGGCGGCGTGTGCACTTGTGCTGAGCCTTGCACAGGGGGCGGGAAGGGGGAAGGGGGGGGGGGGGGGTATGGGCGGGATGCGTGGCGCGGCTGAGGTATTGGGGCGGCAGGGACCGCATCAGAGACGGCTGGCGACGGAGGCGCGGGCAAGAGCAGTGCAGTGCACCCGAGAACGCACACAGCTCGTTGGCCGTGTTGATAAATGGCTGTACGTGTGTGTGATGCGCTGATGACTCTTTCTCTCCACTGACTCCACTCTCCGTATATAGTCTATCTTGATCTCCCTGTCTGCATATACATGCGATGTCGCTGCACTATAAGGGGATGAGGGATGTGATGCGCAGAGACCCCCGTCTGCGCTCTGCCACGTCCGCCAGCCAGCCTCTGGCAGAGCGCTCTGCCTCTGGCAGTGCTCTGGCCCTTTTGGCCCCCCACGCGGCTGCTCGCTGGTGCGCCTGGGCGCTGGGGCCTGGGGCGACGGCCTGGCCACCTGAGAGGTGCGGCACCTGTGGGCCGTGGGCCCACAGGTGCGGCCCCCGGGCTTGCGTCCTTGGGAGCAGTTCCAGTTGAGGAAGTGCACACACGCGTTCGCCCGGCCGTTGCGCGTTGGAGCACTTGGATTGCGGCTGCCCGCAACTTGCAAGTTTTGGGGTCGTCGCGAAGACGGATCAGGTAGAGGGCAAGTGCACTCTCTGCAGAGCTCTGCCAGAGCTCATAGCTCAAGCGGGGGGCCGGCGCGGCTCTCGTCTTACTTACACGCCTTGGTGAGCACACAACTGTGTGTAGACTGTGTATAATAACGTACAGACCGGAGAGAGAGATCAAGGCTTGAAGTAAATGATAAACTCGGGGTACGTCTGGGCGCGATCGTAGACGATGAACTCGCGGTGGACCTGGCTCCCGCCCGACGCTACAACCGAGTCGTGGGGCAGACCTGGCTGCCGATCCGGTGCTCGGCGCCATTGTGTCTGGCTTCGCGCGCTGGTGTGAAAGGCGTGCCCAAGCAGAACTCGGCTGTATATGATCGTGAACTCTCCACTGCTGTTCGGTTGTTTCGTGTACTGCATCGACTTGCAGCTGTTCTCCGCAAAGTAAGTGCCAGCGCCGTACAGTCCGCCCATGTCTGCCACGCGCTCGTCGAATCCCCATCGCGAGATCAACCTGGCTGTCGTTGGATCGGTGCCGTGGAATAGATAGATCTCGTTCAGGCTGGCGTCAAGCATCTCATGCCTCGGAATGGCAATCGCAGGGACCGCGCCGCCGGGAAGTCCGGCGAGCTGGCTCATCTCGGCGCGTTTGGTGCAGTACGACTTCCAGAGCAGCGTGTTCTCGACCCGCTCTACCTTGGTCACCGTTGCACCTCGAAGACCTGGCCTTCCCTGGCACCCCGCTGCGTGACCATTGAGCGGAGTCGTACGCAGCAGCACCTGCATCTTCGACTTGACATGCAACGTTGGTTTGATTCCGAAATGAGGTTGTGAGTTGGAAAGGTCTTGGTGGGTCCAGTAGGAAGGGAGCTGAAACGCGAGGTCAAAGTAGGTGGTGTGGCGCAGCTGTTGCCGAAGCGCCTCTAGTTTGGCCACCTCTGCAGCCCTGACAGCAGCCTCTGCCAGGAGCTCGCGCTTCTTCTTGGGGTGGGCCTTTGAGGAGCTGCGGATGGCGGGCTACATCGGCGCCAAGGGGATGACGTCGCGCGACTTTCTGGACCGGCATCAGGCGGGCTGCTCCAACTTTGCGGGGCTCGACTTTTCGGGCGAGGACTTTTCGAACATGGTGCTGAACGGCTGCAACCTGAGCGGCTGCGTGCTCGAGGGCGCCATCTTTGACGACGCGCAGCTGACGAATGTGGACTTGACTCGCGCCAACCTGTCGAGTGTCAGTCTGCGGGGCGCTGCCTTGAGCGGGTGCAAGCTCGTGCGCTCGTGGGCCCAGGGCAGCAAGCTGAGCAATGCGAGTCTCTCCACCTGTGAGTTGGCCAGCTCGAACCTCTCAACGAGCGACCTGAGCGACGCGAGCCTGGCCAAGTGTAATCTCACGCAGGCTGAGCTAGTTGGCACCAAGCTTCACCGCACCACGATGGCGGACACCGACTTCTCGAAGGCCAGGGTGGATAACAGCGATTGGCGAGGCGCTCGCTTCAAGGTTGCGTGCAACTTTTCGGACACGGCAATCCGGCAGTGCATCTCTTTGGCGGAGCTCAAGGCTGGCGGGCTGGTTCAGGGGATGAACACCATGGGCTACTCAATCAGCGAGATGAAGGCGGCGGGCTACTCGGTGCAGGAGGCCAAGGCGGCGGGCTACTCAATCAGCGAGGCGAAGGCGGCGGGCTACTCGGTGCAGGAGGCCAAGGCGGCGGGCTACTCAATCAGCGAGGCGAAGGCGGCGGGCTACTCGCTGCACTCGCTCAAGGAGATTAAGGCGGCGGGCTACTCGTGCAGTGAGGCAAAGGCGGAGGGCTACAAGCCCTTTGAGTGCCGTGAGGCTGGCTACTCTTACGAGGAAGGTCGCGTGGCCGGCTATCGCTGGGACGACAAGGAAATTTGGTATGGACGTTATGATCACGACTACAACCGGTGGCTCTGAATTGGAAGAGTGTCACACACACCCACAGTCATTGGAAGAGAACCCGACGTGATTTCTTTTTCCCCAACCGTAGCCCATCATCTCGCAAGCACTCAGCCCATCAGCGCCTTTCGCGCCGCCGCCGCCGCTGCCCTGCCTCCGCGCTCGATGGTGCTCGGCCCGCTCGTGAGCGCCTATTCGCGGAGCCTCGCGGTGGCGCCGCTCCCCACCAAGAGCCTGCTCGCCGCGGTCATCGCGATTGGCGGCGACGCGGTGGCGCAGCTTTCCGATGGCGGAGGCGCGGGCGAGGCCAAGGGCCTCGACGTGGAGCGAGCGGTCGCCTTTGGCATCTTTGGCGCGAGCTACACGGGCGCGTTCCAGCACCACCTCTTCGACTGGCTCTCCTCCAACTGCCACGGCCACACCCTCGCGCGCCTCTGCTCCGCCTCTCCCGCGGCGGAGTGGGTCGGATGGCTCGGGGCGGCGATGGAGCGCACGCTGCTGAACCAGTGAGCGCCGCGCGCCAGCCCCGCCGCGCCCCCCGCCGCGCCCCCTTGACACGCCGGCCAGCGCACGCGCCGCCCCGACCCCTCTGCCGCCGCCCCGCCCCCCGCTGCCGCGAAGATCTACGCCCTTAGCTAGCATAAATGTCTACGCCCTTACCGCCGCCCCTCCCCGCCCCGCAGGCTGATCATCATCCCGCTGCTCTACCTGCCCTACTACTTTCTGGTCTCTGGCATGGTCAAGGGCCACTCCCCGCGCGCGATCGTCGCCTCTGCACGCCGCCGCTACCTGCCCCTCCTGCGCCGCAACTGGGCCTTCTGGGTGCCGGTCCAGTTTTCCTTTTCCCCGAGGGGGCGCAGGTCATGTGCCGGGGCGAACCCCCGCCCCCCCCCCCACAATCCGAGACGCTGGCTCTTGCCCAACCCGGACCCCGCCCCAACCCACCCCGCAACAGCACAAGCCGCTGACCCGGCCCCCTTCCCCCTGGCAGGTGGACCCGCAGCACCTCGTCCTCGCCACCTGCCTCGCCGGGCTCGCCTGGAACGCGCTCCTCTCCTCCCTCACCTACCGCCACCCGCGCCGCGGTGCTCAGCCCCTCGTCGCAAACTGAGCAGCAGCAGCAGCTGCTGCTGTAGCAGCCGCCGCCGCCGCAACAGCCGCCGCCGCAGCAGCAGCCGCCGCCGCAGCAGCAGCCGCCGCCGCCACCGCAGCAGCAGCAGCAGGAACAGCGGGCTGCACTGAGCGGTTGGGCCAGGCCCCGCCGACAGAGGGGGGGGGCCACGGGAACGGACCATGCCGCGAGGGCGCGCAGAGACGCTGTTGACGCTATTATTGCGCCGCCCCTCAGCTCGAGGGAGTGGGGCGCCGTACGTACAGACCGTGTGCCGTGTACCGCTTGTGCCGCTGCAGCGAGGGGCGCCGGGCGTAGCGCCCGTGCTCGCTGTCTCGTTTGCAGCCGTGTGTCGCCGTTCAGGGCGCCGGGCACGCCTTAGGGGGGCGTGCGCCGTGATGCTCGGGCGACCCCAGTCTATTATTTCAACGAGCCAAATCGAGAGAGATGAACAATTCTTACGCGCAAATTCTTTTCTCTTTAGCGACTCTCTCCACGCAGGCGATCACCCCCCGTCGAGCTTGGCTCCGCCGAGGTGCGATGTCTGGCCTGGCGCGTCCGCCGCCGCGTCCGCCGCCTCTGCTGTGGCGGCGCAGGCCTGCGCTGTCTCGCCGCCTCGTCTCCGTCGCCCGGCGCACCGCTGCCACCACCTCCTCCTCCTCCTCCGCCGCCGCCACCACCGCTACCACCACCGCCTCCTCCTCCTCGTCGGCCGCCGGTCCCTCGCAGCTCCACCGCCAGATGCTGCGCCTCGTCGAGCTGACGCAGCCGACGGCGAGGCAGGCAAAGGAGCGCGAGCTGGCGGCGTGGTGGACGGCAAAGGCGGTGCGCGAGGCGGCCCCCGGCGCGACGGTGCACATCTTCGGCTCCACCGCCACCGGCTGCCAGCTGCCTGGCTCGGACCTCGACCTGGTGGCCATCAGGGCGCCGAGCCGGCGGAAGAAGGGCGTTGCGCCGGAGTCTGCTGCGGAGCTGGCGCCGCACAGCCGGGCCTTTGAGCAGCTGCGCAAGATCCAGAGGCGGGTCCGCGCGTCGGGCGTGGCGGACCAGCGCGACCCGCTGGTCGTCATCCGCGCAAAGGCGCCTCTCCCTCCCGCCTCTCCCTCCCGCCTGCGGCGAGACGGCGAGAGAGTCTCTTCACCCGTCGCCGCTGCGACAGGTGCCTCTCCTCCGCTTCAGCGAGAAGCGGTCTCTGCTCTCGGTGCCGCTCCGCCTCCTCCGTGCACCCAAGGAACCAGTTCCAGCACCCTCCCGAGCCGCGAGTAGGTGGACCTCTCGTGGAACGCGACCGACGGCCTGCGCAACTCACAGGCGGCCCGCGGCGAGGAGGGGAGGAGTGCGGCCAGCTGACTGGCGACTAGCTGGCTCACTGCCACCGCGCCTCGCAGGCGATCCGCTGCGCCATGGAAGCGCGGCCGGAGCTGAGGCGGACGCGTGCGGGGCGGCGAGGCGTCGGGCCCTCTCTCCCGGAGAGACGTCTGTCCGGGGATAGGCCGCTCATGCTCTGCGTCAAGGCGCTGCTGCGACAGCGCGGCCTCAACACGACGGTCGAGGGCGGGATCGGCTCCTACCTCCTCTTCGCCATGGCGCCGTCTCTCCTCCCGGGGAGAGGGAGTGGCGCCGGGCCCTGACTCTGGCCGGCTGCTGTCAGGTGCTCGAGCATTTCGAGCCGCGTGCGCGGCTGGAGGCGGTGCGGAGGGAGGCGGTGCGGAGGGCCAAGGCGGCGCAGAGGGCGGCGGCGGCGGCGGACGACGAGGTGGCGGAGGTGGTGGAGCTGGCGGTGGAGGCGGCTGGGACAGAGGCGGCCAAGGCGGCCGAGGCGGCGGAGGCGGCCGAGGCGGCGGAGGCGGCCGAGGCGGCGGAGATTTCGGAGGTGGCGGGGGCGGTGGAGGCGGCGGAGGCGGCCGATGCGGCGGAGGCGGCGGAGGCGGCGGAGTGGCGGTCTCAGCTAGCGGCGACGCGCGAGAAGAGCAAGGAGGAGCAGGCGTCGCTGCGCGTCGTCCGCGCCGTAGAGGCGGGAGGAGAGGCGGCGATCCAATGCCTCCTCGGCGCGAGCGACGAGGGAGGAGGAGGAGGAGACGCCACCGCGGAGTGCCGCGACTTGGGCGCGCTGCTGGTCGGCTTTCTCGAGCGGTGCGGAGAGAGGAGACGAGGGGCGCACGATGACCCCGCTGCGCGCCTCGAGCCGCGGCTTCTGCCTCGGGTAGGCACCGGTCCGAGGCGGGGCCGCTCTGCATGGCCGACCCGATGGCGCCCGAGGTGGACTTGGGCGCGAAGGCGAGTTGGGGCGAGGGAGGAAGGGGGCGAGGGGCACAGGGGCGAGCGGGCGAGTTGAGCGTGTGGAGTGACTTGGCCCCTCCCTCTCCCCGTCGCGGCAGGCGTGGCGGGTGGAGGAGGTGCGGCGCGCCTTCGGTGCGGCGGCCGACTCGCTGCAGCTGCAGCCGTGCCTGTCCGGCGTGCTGCTGGGCTGGCCGCGCGGCGGCATGATCGACGGGCGAGTGATTTGCCTCGGGCCCCGTCGAGTGGTCGTGCCAGGGGGGGGAGTCGGCGACGTTGTCCCGTAGGCAGCGCGAGTTTGCGCGCCTCTTCGGCCTCGCAAGCGGCGCGGGCAGGCGGAGAGGCAGGCGCATCGCCGCCACCCCATCGGCCGGGAACGAGGGCGAGCAGGGAGGGACGGAGCAGGGAGGGACGGAGCAGGGAGGGACGGAGCAGGGAGGGACGGAGGAGGGAGGGCGGGTGTTCGATGCCCTCGGCCTGGACGTGGCGAGATGCGCCCACGGCATCTCCGCCTCGGACGAGGGGGCGATGAACTCGAAGGTGCGGAGAGCCTTGCGGAAGGTGCGCCAGCGCGAGGAGTTCGCCGCGGCCCTCGAGACGGGCCGGTGGTCGAGCAGCGCGCGGCACATGCTCAAAGGCAAGAGGGGCCGAGGCTTGTGGCAAGAGCTCACCAACCCAAAGGGGCTGAGCAGCGCCTTCGCCGCCGCTCTCTGCGCGCGGCTCGGCCTCACTCCCGACGGGCTCGCGGCGGCGCTGCAGCGCGCCGCCGCGGCGGAGCCGCCCGTGAAGAAGGCTGCGGAGGCGGAGGCGAGGCCGGCCGAGCCTGGCGCGGGAGGGGGAGGGGGACGGGCGGGCGGCGCCTCCTCCTCGCCGCGGTGTGGGGACGAGCCGCGCCTGCCGGTGGCGGGAGGAGGGTGGGTGGAGGCGTCCGCTTTGCCGCCGTGGCGGGGCGAGGAGGAGCCGCCGGATCCGCCGCCGCAGCGGCCGCCGCTGACCGCGCGGCCGGTGCCGGAGGAGGTGCGTTGGCTGCGGGGCGAGGGCGAGGGCGGGGCGGGGGAGGAGGGCAGGGGCGAGGGGGCGTCGTCTCTCGGTGCGGGGCCGGGGCGGGGGGCGGGGCGAGGGCGCGAGTCGCAGGGGGAGGTGCAGACGGGCTGGGGCGTGCAGACGGGCTGGGGCGCAGGAGGCTTCGCGGCGGTCGCCGGCCGCCTCTTGCAGCGCTTCGCCTCGCTGCTGCCCGAAGGGCTGGCGCCGCGTCCCGGTCCGGTGGGGCGGGGCGCGCGGCCAGGCCAGGACGCGGCGGCGGGCGGCGAGGGAGGTGGCCGAGGAGCAGCGGGCGTTGGGCCAACCGAGCAGGGCCCCCCCGCGCCGGCGACCGCGCTGGTGGGAGACTGGGCGGAGCTGCGGGCAGCGATGCCGCGGTGCGTCCCCCACGGCTGGGTTGACGCTTTCCCAGCCTCTCAGCACCCTCTTATAGGAGCCGCGGCGCCGCGAACCCTCGCCGGCGCGGCAGCAGAAAAATGCGCGGAGGATGGCGGAGTTCATCGAGCGCAAGCAGGCGGGGCTGCCGAGGACCCCCCTACCCGAGCGGGCGGCGGTGGGCGACGGGCGGGACGTGAACGCCACGAGCGTCATCTATCTGGTGAAGGAGGTGCTGCGGGCGCAGGCGCGCGTGGAGGGCGTCGAGCAGGGGAGGTACAGCGAGAGGCTCAAGCAGAAGGTGCTGAAGAGGGTGAGGGGCGGCGGCTCTTCCTCGAGCCCTACGAGAACCGCACGGTTCGTCTTTCGGCTCGAGGACACGGGCACCGGCAGGACCTTCGAGGCGGCGAGCACAACGCTGCGCGACGCAAAGGCGCTCGAGCTCTCCGCAGCGGTGATGGGTGGGCGGCGGCTCTCACCCCGCTCTTGCCTGAGAATAGGGGTCCGCGTTCATGCAGTGCTACGATCACTGGCGGGCGAGTGCCGCCGCCGCCGAGGAGGGAGGCGAGGAGGGCACGCCTTTCGGCGAGGGGGGTGGCTGCGGGGGCGTTGTGACGCCCAGCCTCGAGGCGCTCGAGGCGGGTTGGGACAGCGCTGCGCGGTGGGAAGAGGGGCAGAGGGCAGCGCTGCACGGAACCATGAAGCTGCCGAGAACGGAGCGCCCTCTCGAGTCAGTCGAAAATTCCGCAAGTGGGCCGAGCCTCTAGAGGAAATGATATATAAAGAGCCGTAGATTGATATAGAAAGGCGAACGCGAAGAACATAGCCTGGCTCGAACTGGACACCAAAACGCGGTACCATGGGTGGACCGGCGAGACAGAAAAGAGTTTTTAAATGAAGTTGAAGAGATGACGGTTAACGCGCGCGAGCGACACACACAGACACACACATCTCGAGTCAGCGTACGGCACTACGCTACTCAGGGCCACGCCCCCCCCCCCCCCCCACCACCACCACCCACGGTACAGAGGAAGAGAGAATCACTGTCAGCGTCGTGATTTCTTGTTCGATAGGGAAAGCATTGATGAGCCGAAAGTTCGAAATTGAGGAGGGTTCCAAGCGAACCAGTTTAGACCAGTTTAGACCACTGCTAAACACGAACCAGATTAGTCCTGTTTACGATAAACTGGGTCTAAACCTGGTATGGCTAATGGGGTTCCTCCCCCCCCCTCGCCCCCGCGTAGCGCGCACCTCCCTCCCCCCCGCCTAGCTCCCCTGCTCTGAGAGAGACGCGGCTCTCAGCGGCACGCGCAAGCGTCAGCGGCCTTGCTTCTTCTCGCGCTGGTCGAGGTTGTGCATGGCAATCTTGAGGGTCCACGGACCACGCGGCCGCGTCGAGGACTCTTCCGACAGCTTCGCCGTGTCGAAGATCTGCTTGCAGAAGCCGCAGCGCGTCCCCTCATCTTTCGCGCGGTACGTCGGGAGCGAGGCCAGGAACATCGCCTGCAAGCATTTGGTGAGGGGCAGTGAGTACCACTGCTCAACCAAACACCACTTCTACTAGCACCTTTGCGGCCGTTGAAATCAACGCGCTTCCGCTTCTTGCCAGGCGCAGGCGCCGCCAGCTGGTCTGTCGCCGCGCCCGACGTCGCGCCCTAACACCGACCGTGCGCCTGATCGGCGAGGCTGTTGTTGCGCGGTGCAAGTGTGCCAGGTGTGCTGTCCGGCCCGAGGCAGAGGATGGCGGCTGCACGCTGCCGCTTCCGCAGCCACAGCGCGGCCGCGGCGGCGGAGCTAGCTAGGGGCGCCCTAAACCGGGTCTAAACCTGGTATGGCTAATGGGGTCCCCCACCCAGGCCGAGCCCTGTTTAGACCCAGTTTATCGTAAACAGGACTAATCTGGTTCGTGTTCAGCCGTGGTCTAAACTGGGTCTAAACATGGTCTAAACTGGTATGTATGTATGTAGGAAGGTGAAGAACTAAAAACTGGTTCGCTTGATACCCTCATAAATTGCAAGCACGCACGCAGTCCGTTATAACCGACAACCGCTCCAACCGCCCTGGCCCGGCCATGCTCTTCGACCGCTCGCAGCCGGCACCCTTCCGCATTGACATCCCCGTCGACGACCTCCTGCCCGCGCACCCTACGCCAGACGAGGTAGCGGCTGAGAAGCGTGCAGTCCTCTCTGCTCCTCGCACTGCCAAGTCCCCGGAGGCTCTGGCGCGCGCAGAGAAGCTTGGGGCACTGCTCCATGAGAATCACCTTTTGGCAGTGCAGCAGCGCGCCGCCCGCGAGAGTGAGCGCGCTCGTGAGGCAAAGGCTCGCCGCCTTCGGCACGAGGAGTCGGAGCGGCAGCGGCTGCAGGCGATAAACACCCCTCAGCCTCGAGCCCCTCTGGACTCTAGCCCCACATCCGTTTGTCGGCCACCCACCCGCCGCAGGCACGCCTCGACCGCGCCGCGTCCCGTGACAAGTCCCACGGCGAGGCCAAGGCGTCCGAGGCCGCGCTCAAGGCCCTGCTCCGCACGCAGAGGGCGGAGGAGGCGCGAAAGGCACGGATTGCCGCCGAAGAGGCGCGGTCGGAGAAGCTGGCCTCCCTCTCGGCTCGCGTGGAGGAGTCGGTGGAGCGCAAGTCCAAGCTGGTGGCGGCGACGCAGGCGAAGAATGCATACCTCGTCAAGCGCGCCCTCGCCGTCGTGGCCGCCCACAAGGAGCAGCAGCGCGAGGCCTCGCAGGCTTCCGCCCTGATGCTCGAGACCAAGTGCTGCGCTGCCGCAGAGCGGCGGCACGCGTCGTTCGGCTGCAGGACCACCTCGGCCTCGCGCGCCGAGGTGGTCAAGGCGGCGGTCGAGGCGACCAAGCTCGAGCAGGCCCTCCGCACCAAGCGAGCTCTCGAGGCGGCGGCCGAACGCCGGGAGGAGGCGCTGTCCCGGCGGATCGACAAGGCGCGCGATGAGCTATCGCGCGTGCAGGCTGCTTCGGAGAGCAAGGAGGCCGCGAAGGCGGCGCAGCTTGCCGCCACACGCCGCTCGCACTTTGCCAAGCGCAACGATGCTGAGGTGGCCAAGCACTTTGCGCGGCTCCGGCCGACGCCCCCAGTGGCTTTTGAGATTACGGTTGGTGACGGGCCGCCCGCGCGCACCTTGCCGGCGGCGCTCATCACCCGGCTCCAGATCAAGACGCGCCGGTCCCCCATGGCCCCGGCCACCGACCTCGACACGCGCAAGTCCATCACGGCGGGCGCGCGCGTCGCCTTTGCCCGCAAGGACCTCGCCGCGGTCGAGGCGGCGCTCGCCGCCACCAAGGCCAAGGCGGCCGCACTCAAGACTGCCACCGAGGCGGCGGGCCGGCGCGGCGCCGCCATCGCCCGCTCCGCAATCCTCGCACGCGCCGCTAAGGCCAAGGCGACGAACGCGCTAGTGGACCGGGCCGCCATCCGACGGGGCGCCTCCCGCGCGGCTAAGAGCACGCGCCTCGGCCGCAAGGCGCTATGCGCGCAGGCCGCTTCGGGCCGCCGGGCCGCGGGCCTCGTCGCGAGGGCGGCCAAGGCAGGCACGAAGGAGCGCGCCGCCGCGTTCAAGGCTAAGCGCGAGGCCATGGACGCCGCCCGCGCGGAACGCGGCCACGCCCTGCACCGCCGCACCCTCGCTGCACATGCGGCTGCCGCAACGCTCCTCGCGCGGAAGGCGTCCGCCCCCACGACTCGCCGCAAGAACCTGCCCTCGGACGAGCGGCGGGCGGCCAAGGCCGAGTCCGCCGCCAAGCCGTCGTGCTCGGTGGCCTAGCCCCGACGGTCGATCACGCGCGCGTCGACTCTCAGCGCCTCGCGCGATTGGTAACGGCACAGCTGCGGCAAAAGATTGCTGTGGTCAGCCGGGGGCGGGGCGTGAAATCCGTGACCCCAGTGAATATAACGTGGCACTGTGACCACACAGAGTTCAGAGAGAGAGAGTGGGGAGAGTGCCACTTGATGACGAGTCGTGAGCGACGCGCAGTTTAGAGTTTTCTCTCTTCGTTGAGGCTAGTCTCTCTCGCTCGTGTCTCGAGCGGTCGAGGGACTGATGGGAGAGAATGGGACTCGACACGCGTCTACTTTTGCTGCTTGCTCTCTTGGCACTCCGCTTGGCTTCGAGTCTGCGCGTTGAGAGCGTTCCCTGGGCGTTCAGCTCCAGCTGTGACAAGGTGTGTCTCGCCGCACATTTAGATGCGTTTTTTTACCCAGAATCTCGACTCGCAGCTCGACAGATACGAATTGACACTCGCACCGAGGAGGAGGATAACGGGCAGACGTACAGCGAAGGTTTTGCCGCCGCTGCGGCCTCGCTGCCATCCTCGCCGCGGTTGACCGAGCCACGCTCGAGTAGGCTACAGCCGGCTGCCTCGCCCCATGCCGCGCCCTGCGGGCTCGGGGCGCCCCGGCTGGCGAGAGAGAGGTCGTGCTGCAGCAGAGCCATCGCTTCACCCAGCGCATCGGCTTCGCTCTCCTCTGAGTCGCTCTCCTCTGAGTCGGACGGTGGCATGAGCCCCGCTGTCGGGCTCTGGTTGCCGAGGCCGCGCGTGCCACGCGCCCAGCGCCAGTCGGCGTCGCTGTTGCCGTCGGCCGCCGCAAAGAGCTGGGCTCGCGATGGCACCTCACGGACGCAAGAGACGAGCTGCGCCGCCCACGTGACGTGCGGCTCCGCCGCGAGCACGTGCCGCCGCATAGTCTCGGCCGGGCCGTCTCGCAGGCAGCGCTTGCAGCGGGCGAGCTCCGCCTTTTTTCGCTGCATCGCGGAGAAGGCTGCAAGCGGGCACTCGAGCTCGCAGGCGGCGCAGCGTGGCATAGCCTCGGCGGCACGAGTGAGCGCAGCGTCGACGAGTCGTCGCGAGCTGTGTGGCACCTAGTCGTGGCTGGTCGAATTCTTTATTTTTTGGTGGCGATCGCTGTACTTCATGGCGCCCTCAAAGTGGGGCTGGCTGACTCGCCAGAGGTCGATACTCTGGACGACCCATAGGATGCCACGAATGCCTGAAGGAGAGGGAGGCGAGGCCAGAGGCAGGCTCAGCTCTTTCGGGTGATCTCGCTTTGGTGGCCGAAAGGATCCGATGGTCCTGTCACATTCGCGTTCCGACTCGTGGGAGTAGAAGATTGCGGGGGGGGGATCGAGTCAACGCTTCCTTGTAGTACAGCGGACCGCCAGGCTCGCCGGCAGCAACCGCAGGGAGGCACAGCATATCAGGCACCAGTCTTCTGGAGAGCTCAACAGCTGCAGCCGCGATGGCAGAGTCGGCCGCGGCTCGAGCCAGCAAGCAGCTTTCTCTCTGTCTCTTTCTTGGATTCATTCAACAAATTCAGAACCAAAAAAACATCTTCAGCGAAAAATTATTTAGAAATAAAAGGCAAAAAAGGAATCCCTGTGGGAGGACGAAAACGGAAAGTGCAAAGAAGATCACACATTTGCCGCATACCCCACAACACGAATCGCAAAAACGCTATTGCAATAAAAGCACACGTAATCTACACACTGATCATCCCGCCGCGGCCGCTCGGCGCATCGGACCCCTCGCCCCCGCCGGCTTCACCGCCACCCCCGCCAGCGCCGGCGAGACCGCCCTCGCCCCCGCGCCGCCCGCGCCGCCCGCACCGCCGCCGCCCCCCCCACCCGCGCCGGATCCGCCGCCTGCGCCCCCACCCGCGCCACCCTCGCCGCCGGCACCTCCCGCTACACCACCCTCGCCGCCCTCACCGCCCCATCCCCCGCCACCGCCGAGCCCGCTGCCGTCGCCGGAGCCATCCCCTCCCTTGGCAGTGCCGCCGTTCCCTCCCTCGCCGCCAGCCCCGCCGGCGCCGCCGCCGCCCCCCCCTCTGCCCGAGCCGCCGCCGCTGCCGCCGCCCTCGCCGCCCTCGCCCCCTGCGCCCCCGATGCCGCCACCCGCGCCACCGTCGCCACCGTCCCCGCCGTCGCCGCCCCCACCTCCGACGCCGTCACCGCCGTTGGCCGTGCCGCCGGTACCTCCAGCGCCACCCGCGCCGCCCGCGCCGC